AGTTCTTCATAAACAGGCATGTGTCCATCACTGCGGAAGCCCACAATTTCAAAAGAGATGCTAATTAGATATAATGTTTGGTATTCTCACAACTTAAGCTAGAATCTACACAAAACACACCCAGGGGTTGCCAGACCTGAAAAAGCCCTTTGACTTTTTTGAATGCAAAAAGCCAAGGATTAAGACTCAATTCTGGGGAAAATGAAATGCCTGAAAGTACCTTTTCCAAAGAATCCCTGGAGAGCAGGCTGACCGTCTTAGCTGAGAAGAGCCATCACTACAGAAGCCCACAGGGAGCAAAGTCCAGACAGCCCATCTCAGCCGTGTGCTGCTGCTACTGCCAGGGCACCAGGGCAGTCTCCCGCCTCCCGTCTAGCAACACGGGGAGATATTAAGCCAGAATATTCGACAATCTGACTGTTACTCTGAAAACTATACTGTCCTTAAATACAGCTCTCTTACTTCCAGATTCCTCTAGGGAACCTACACATGAATGCTTTATTTTACAGAGCAGTGTATTTTTGACCATGTTCCCTTAGAGACCCCAGACCTGGAATTCCTCTTATATGAAAGCCACATGTGGACTAAGGGTATTACAAAGTGGACTGTGCAGTAATACTTTTCCTGGAACCCCTGGAGGCAAAAGCTCAACTCACAGCCCTCACCAATGCCTTAAAAGAACTAAGAGGGTAACATTTAGACTTAATCTAGTAGGCCTTTTCTATATTACATGCCAACAGAGCTATTTAGAAGAAAAAATTATCCTTGATAAAATACCAAACTTATTCTACAAAGAAAAGCTGCCCTCTGATTCAAATGGCTTTGAACATCGTCAATCATCATCCAAGGGAAGCCTCTGCCCTCACTAAGAGAAGACATTGCACGTACATACTCAATTGCTCTGGGAACATTTTCCTGGATCTCCGATATGCACACTTGAATTAATGCTGTGTCAAACCCCACCCTGAGCCTTCTTCACCTACTCTTCTGGTTTGGGACTTAGACTCAGTGATGACAAAACTGCTAATCTTTCTGGTTTGCGTTTTAGGACAGAAATAGTCATGTGTGCTGTTTTTATTTGCTGTTAAGTGATGAAGTGCCTGTAAGATAAATTACATGGCAACAACAATGAACTGAACTGCAAAAAATATTTTGCTATACTGAAGATGGGAAATATTTACTAGGAGGGAAGAAGTGGTCCAGAAAAGCACCAATACTGGGGCATGAGGCACAAATGGTGGTTAAAAAAATGAAAATAATGAAAAACTGAGTCAACACTGAACAGTGAGCCCCAATCCGTTTTACCCTGCCCCAGCTTAGGTCACCAGACTCCTTAGGTCACCTCCAACTCCTATTTCCTAATAAGGTTTAAGGAATCCTTTTCTGGAGAAATGCAAATTTTATATAATTACATGATCCTCTTACAGTGAAGTCCACTAACTGACAAATGCTGCCCAAAACCACAACTCTTCTTTTCAGCTTCTAGTTAAAAATAAAAATAAAAAAAAAAAGCTAGGTCAAAGCCAGGATCCAAGAACTCCAACCTGCTCTCACACATGGACAGCAGGGACCCCAACACCTGGGGGCGTCATGAGGCACATCAGGGGAAGCACATGGAGTAGCTGACACTTAACTGGTACTCCAATAGGAGATGCAATAGCTCAACTCCCAGCCACAATGCCTGCTCCATCCTTCTGGCTTTTTGAACTTTACTTATATTTTACATGCACTTTATTCATGTATAATTTACACATAAAATACATATTAAGTGTACAGTCCAAAGATTTTACGAAGAATGAAGTTACAGAATTTTCTCTATATTGTTTTACAATCAATTCCTCCCATCCACTATATCCAGCCACCACAGATCTAATTCCTATTATTACGGATTAATTTGCCACTTAAAGATCTTCACAAATACGCAGTCACACAACATTTATGGTTTGCTGCTCGGCTTCTCTCACTCAGCACAGTGGTTCTCACTTTCATCCATGTTACTGCGTGTACCAGATCCACACGCTGTCTGAACACACCAATACTCATCCCAGCCACTGAGCAGCTGATGGGCATCTGGAATTTCTAGTCTGGGACACTACAAAGCTGCCACATTCAAATGTGTCTTTTTGTGGGTAGGTATGTGTTCAACTTCAATACTTCCAGCAGGTAATTAGCAATGGGATTACTGAGTCACAACTGCTGTGTATTCGACTTTACGACAGAACCTGCTGAACTGTTTTCCAAAGTGGTTCTACCGTGTTACAGTCCCTTCAGCAGCCCTGCGGACTGTAGCGGCTCTTCGCCTTTTTGAACACTCGTCGGCTCAATCTTAGTCACCTTAGTGAGAAGCAGGCTTCAACTGCGGCTTCCAGTCTTCATTTCCCTGGTGATGACTGATGCTGCACACTGTTTCAAATGCTTATTACACGTGCATACACATCTTCTTTTAGTAAAGTGTTTGTTCAGATACTCTGGGTTGACTTTTTGTTGAATTCTAAGGGTTTGTTATTTACCTCTGTGTATGTTTTCCTCTGAGTCTGTAGCTTCTCTCTCCATTTTTTTTGGTGATAGCTTTTGAAGAGTATAGGAGTTTAAAAACCCACAGATGAAGATTAATCCAATTAATATTTTTCTTATAGTTAGTATATTTGCACTCTAACATTATCATATATCCTAAGCTCATACAAATTTTTCTCTTGCAGCTTTTTGTTTTGTTTTGGCTAGTTTTATCATTTCAGACTTTATGTTCAGGTCTGTGATTTATTTTGAATTATTTTCATGCATGTTGTTAGGCTAAGTTTGAAGACCATTCAGGATGCAGGACTGTTCTGTTCCACCTGCATTATGTTGGAGCCTCTGTTGAAGTAACCACATTAAGTCTGGACTCACTGTCTGTCTATTTTTACATCTCAAATCTCCTGTCTTAACTGGTGACAATACAGAACAGTCTCTAATTCATGAGCATGGGATCTCTCTCCACTTATTTAGATTTACTTTAATTTCTCAGCAATGTACAAGACTTTCATTAAATTTACTCCCAAATATGTTAATGCAAATGGTACTATAATTTTAATTTTCCACACTGCTTACTGTTGGCATAAACATTTAATTGGCCTTGTCACATGCCACCTTTCTAAATTCATTTTGTAATTTTTTTCTGATTCCTTGGGATTTTCTAAACAGAAAATCATCACCAGAGATCATGGAAGTCTTCCTTCTCTTTTCAATCTTGGTTCTCTTACTGTTTCTGTATTGACCTTGATCTCTAGAATAGAATATTGGATAAAGTAGTGAGTCCAGAAATTCTTGCCTTACAACAATCTTAGAGAATTACAAAATAGGCGTTTAGTTTTATATCACTAAGTATGACGATGATAATTGTAGGTGTTCTGGCAGACACCCATGACTAAGTTAAGAAAGTTCCTTTTTATTTCTGGTTTGTTGAGAGTTTTCAAAATCTTCATGCATGTTTAATTTTGTTAAATAGTTTTTCTATATCTCTTAAGGTGATTGCATAAATTCTTTCCTTTATTTTCTAAATGTGTTAGAAAAGGGTTAATAGAGCTAAAATTTTTATGAGGTATAAAATAAAAATCATTTATGAGGAATAAAATAAAAATCGTTGAACAGCAGGTGAGCAATATATATGTATTAAGAAATAGACTGTGGTTATGCAGCAAGGTGGAGGAATCCACCATGGGGGGAGGGCTGTGGGAGGAGTGGGGGAAATCCCAGTGCCTATAAAACTGTATCACATAATACAATGTTGTTAACAATTAAAAAAAAAAAAAAAGAAATAGGAAGAAGGACAAGAATAGCACAAATAGCCAGGAACAACTGAGAGTGGTTGTCTCCGAACAGGTCTAGTTGAGAATGGAAATCATGAATATTTAATGATAAATCTCTGAAACTGGAAATGGCTTCTACAGCAAAGCAGAGGTGATGCTAGGGCCTCATTATCGACTGTGTGTGAGGTTAGCTGTGAGGGAAGGGCGGCTGCACGCAGGGATGATTTCAGTGGGACATTCAAGAGAAGATGTTCCCTCACACAGCTGGATAGACTTGGCAGCAAAGAGAGACTTTAATACCAAAAGAATGAATGAGATTGAGCATGCGCAGGATGAGAAAAGGTTTACGAAAAAAAAAAAACCTCAGAAGGAGGCAAGAGAGGAAAAGCAAACAGAGGAAAGCAAAAGAGAGTCAATTTTCAAAGAAAAGGTGTAGAATCAGGCAGATATATCACACAAAGGTGATAGGAGAACGTCGTTCTATCAACACACTTAATTCCAAAGTCTTATGAACCAACAAATGTTAGCAAGATGTCTCAAATCTTAAACCATATAACTGTAATGATGGAAAACAGAGAATGGTGTTACCCTATTTTTATACTGCTATTCATTTGTTCCAGTTCAGGACACATCTGGAGCAGAGAGGAGGAAGACATTTCATTCCTCATTTCAGCTGATAAAGGGGTTACAGAAGAAATGGTCAATGCAAATCAGTCAGAGACAACAGAGAATTAGCTAAATATCCATGCCACTTAGAGTGGTTATGGAAGACTAAGAGTGAAAGTATAGAAAAATATCTTGAAAACCTTTTATTTAACAGAGTGCACAAGGTGTGACTATTCAAAAGTGATGAGTCATTTAAAAATATTTAAATTATTACTCTGCCTGGAAAACACAAGCAATCTTTTGTGGGTGACTCAGTGTGGAAACTTTTACCAATAGAACAGGTCAGAGGAATACAAGTCACGTACTACAAAACCTGTGAGATAAAAAGGTGATCTGGAATTTTGTTTTGTTATGTTCATTTCAGAAACAGTTGAGAAAATAAAGTAAAAGAATCTCAAGTGAAGATTTTCTAATGCTCAAAGAAACTCTACAGATGAGCATGAAAGAATAACCAACTAACTTCTCAATAACATCAAGAGTAACGTAAAGACATTTCAAAAGCATGCCTAATTCGAACATAAAGGGAATCAGAAAGTAGTCAAGGCTTACTTTAGTTTTACTTCAGCGCAAGGAAACGTGGTTGACGGTGAAAGCACCAGGCGGGCTCCTGATCACAGCCGCTTCTGTGTGATTCCGGAACCTGCTCCAATCACTTCCTGTACTTGGACTTTGCCTTCTCTTCTGGAAAAACAGGATGATAGATGCCTCTGGGGCCTGAAAAAATACATTAAGAAGAAAATTTGCTTAAATTAGGAAAAAGGTATGTGTCACTAGATAACTAGTTTCTATTACTTGATGTGGGAAACATAATGAATAGGCTATGAATTCTTTAAGATTTATTTTTATTTGAAAGGCAACTTTACAGGGAGAAAAGGAGAGAGTACGGCTGCAATGACTAGAGTTGGACTGGTCTGAAGCCAAGAGCTCAGAGCTTCTTCCAGGTCTCCCCCATGGGCGCAGGGGCCCAAGGACTGGCCCGTGGTTCATGGCTTTCCAGGGCACTCTAATTGGGGTAGGGTCAGAAAGTGGAGCGCTGTGACTCGAGCTGGCACCAATCTGGGAGGACAGCACGACAGGTGAAGGCTTAACCTATTAAGTAACACTGCTGGTCCTGGCTATTAACATTTCACATCCATAATTTTCAGTTACTAATTTCTCTGAGAATTGGCCCTAAAAGAAAAATTTAGGGTGGGTTAAACTTACACATAAAATGGTAAAAACAGTCATCTGAAAGATTGGAAGGGTGCTTCCCTCTTTCAGGTTCTGCACAGCTATCTGCCATGGGCAGAGGAGTAGAAAGCAGGACCTCCATCCCCGTCTGCCCGGGAGGCAGGAGCTCCACCACTCAGGCTGTCATTGCTGTGCCCAGAGTCCAGTATTTGTAGGCACTGGACTCGGGAGCCGTAGCTCGACTAGGTCACCTGATGTGGGATTCAGGTGTTCTACCTGGTGTCCTCTTAAATTTTATTTTTAAGATTTATTTATTTTTCTTGGAAAAGTAGATTTAAAGAGAAAAGGAGATGCAAAGAGAAAGATTTTCAGTCTGCTGGTTCACTCCCAAAAGTAGCCTCAATGGCTGGAGCTTCTGCAATCTTAAGCCAGGAGCTTATTCTGGGTTTCCCAGGAGGGTGCAGGGTCCCAAGGCTTTGGGCTGTCCCCCACTGCTTTCCCAGGCCACAGCAGGGAGCTGGATGGGAAGTGGAGCAGCTGGGACTTGAACTGGCGCCCATATGGGATCCCAACATGTGCAAGGTAAGGATTTAGCCACTGAGTCATCGCTCTGAGCCCTCTACCTGGTGTTTTAACTGTTACGCAAATATCTACTTTCCCTTAGCAAAATTATGAAAACATTCTTTAATATGTTTTCTAAAACATCTATAATAAGTGTCTCTAGTTGGAAATTTTTAAATTTCATTAATACATTTTTTTCTGAGTAGTTTTTCTCATTTCTTATTTCAGAAGTGATCAAACAAAAATCAGATCACATTCTACAAGTGAAAATCATGTGGGTAATTTAAACATGTTTATTTTTGTCCCAAAGTATCTGAAAGTCCTTATCTTGAAATGGAATATGAGGGGGGTCTTTTTTTTTTTTTTAAAAGATTTATTTTTATTGGAAAGTCAGATACACAGAGAGGAGGAGAGACAGAGAGGAAGATCTTTCATCCGTTGATTTGCTTTCCAATTGGCCACAATGGTTGATGCTGAGCCTATCTGGAGCCAGGAACCTGGAGCTTTTTCTGGGTCTCCCACATGGGAGCTTTTTCTGGGTCTCCCACAGGGTCCCAAGGCTTTGGGTCATTCTTGAATGCTTTCCCAGGCTACAAGCAGGGAGCTGGATGGGAAGCAGGGCCTCCATGATATGAAGCAACACCCATATGGGGTCCCAGTGCATGCAAGGCAAGGACTTTAGCCGCTAGGCTACTGCACCAGGCTCAAGGGGGGGGGTCTTCAAAAAGCCCAAGAGAGGATAGGTTCCCAGAAGTCAAAGCTGAAGGGTTGGGGAAGAGGACATACCATCAGAAAGCCCTTGAGAAGTTCCAAAATAGGAGGACATGGGAGACAGCGTCATATTTACATTGCAGGAACATCACTAAGTACAACACTGCAGAAGACTTGGCGAAGCAAGATACAGAGAATAGAAGAGAAACAGGGATGCCATTAAATGAAGGCAAATAAGGAGCTTAAGCGACCATGAGCAGGCTCTGGACATGGTCCTTTATTTTTAAGTATTATGCCTTTTCTATTCTCCATGTAAGAAATCCTGTTAACCTGAAAGCAGATCTTAATTTATTTTGCAAATTAGGGACATCTATATACATATTTAAAAGATTTTCACTAATTATTCACTAATTATATTGAGCACGTTTTGGATATTACAGAAAGCAAAAAATGGTCTAACTTTTAGAAACTTAGAAGCTACACTGACTGAAACAAAAAAGAATAGACAATAAATTCAGAAGACATTGACGGAGCTCCTCTCGGGCCTTCAGGGAGATCACACTACGGTAACAAGCCTCTTTTAGAAGGAATGTCTACATCCTCCTTTCCCTTCCTGACAAATTCATTTTAGTCCAAGTGGTCAGAGAGGGTTGTGAGAGCCAAGTGAGCAATTCTGAGGAGTATCAGGAATCCGAGTGAAATAAATAGCAGCACGAGGTCTGGACAAAGCATGCTTGAGTGGGATGATAAAAGACTTCCAAAGAATGGTACGGATGGCAGCAAGCTTGGGAGAAGCCTAGAACTTCCTTCAGCACAGCTTGTTTAAAACAAAACACTTTATAGCATAACATTAGAATAAGACAGAGAAAGGAAGAGAGAGATAAAAACAAGATAGTATCAATAATATTACTTTTGTAAATTTTTTGGATTTAAACATACACATCCACCTAAATACACATACACAACAGATATACATATGCACATGTAAATAAAAGTGAAATTATAGTTTGTTACTTGTTTTTCCCCACTTAGAAATATCTCAATGAAAATAGGAATCTATACCATACAACTCATATAGATTGTGTGGATATATTCAATTTCCTTATTCAAGTCTCTAATACGACCCACTAGGTCGAATAACACGGCGCAGAGAGGAAGCCAATGGCAAGCCAACAGCAGCTGACGGTTCTGAGGATTCCAATGGTGGAGAGAGCTACGACATATGGAGGCTCAAGAGACCAGTGTTCCAGACAGAGATGAATAATGTCTGAATCTGGAATTCTTTGTGGATGAAGAGGAATTTCCAAAAGGGAAATAAAAAAAGACTGCAATCCAACACACACTAAAAATAATTTCAAATTTTCACATCTGCAGAACAGATAGAATGTCAAAGAAAGCACTTGGACAACTAAAACCAGTGGACAGACTGCCAGGAAAACCCAAACACTGTGGCATGAGCATTCAGTCACAGACGCCCGAGGTGACACAGCCACATGACACTCTAAATTTCACTTCAGATGCTAGGTGGTTTGAAAGCTTTGTGTATCCTCTTCGGACCTCCACTTCCTCAAATATTCCTCAAATGACTGTGCTTGCCAGAGTTCCCTTGGAAACAGCTAATAGCTCAGCATTTCCCACTGCCACCAGAACAAGTCTGCTTTTATCTTTCTAGAAACTGGATATCAAAAAATGGTTCCATTTGAAAAACTACTCCCACATTTAGAAAATATCCTGAAATTCACAATATTAAAAAACAACATTCTCCACTACCCATCTAGCTTATTTGTTGATCTCAAAGAAGAAAATGCAAATTTAAAATTGGTGGACCTGAAAATCATCACCTTAATACATTAGTCAAACTTGAATAGCACAGTCTCTATAGTTCTTTTGCCCAAAAGACCTAACCTTAATCTACTAATTAATCAATCTTCCAGTAGGTCTATTGTCCTATTACTGGCAATTCATGATAAAACAGAAAAATTTATAATACAGATCATTTTATAGGATCACTGGTTTAGTTTCTTTAGTAAGGTCAGCATCGTGAGGGAACAAAGCAGGGCAGTGTGCTGGGTTGGCAGGAAGGAAGTGGAAGGCCCTGAAACAGAAGCTCAAACCCCAGCTACTTTGACCAGAGTCAGGATGCCGGTGTGCGGGGACCGACTGTCCTCTGAGTCGGAAGCCACTGAAGAGTTCCAAGCAAGAGACAACATCGTCTGATTTACTATTAAACAGAATCATTCTGGCTGTTATCATAAAAAACAGGGGGGCTAAAAATGAATATAAGGGTTTTAAAAATCGGATCACCTGTTTTTATTTGAACAATCTGAAGATGAGAACTGACATTAATTACAATGGGAACACACTTGCCAGTGAGACAAGGATGGTCACAAAGCTGACCAGCTAACAGTTTAGTTTTAGATGCTTAAAAAATATTTATTTTCATTGGAAAGTCAGATATACACAGAGAAGGACAGACAGAGAATGATCTTCCGTCTGCTGATTGACTCCCTAAGCGGCTAAGCAGCCACAACGACTGGAACTCCGCAGATCTGATGCCAGGAGCCAGGAGCTTCTTCTGGTTCTCCCACGTGGGTACAGGGTCCCAAGGCTTTGAGTCATCCTTGACAGCCATCCCAGGCCACAAGCATGAAGCTGGTTGGGAAGTGGAGCAGTTGGATACGACTTGGTGCCCAGATGGGATCCTGGAGCATGCAAGGTGAGTGAGAACTTTAGCCACGAGACTACAGCACAAGGCCCTTGGATCCTTTTTTTAAACAAACAAACAAAAAATGATTTAGTTATTTGAAAGGCAGAGTTGTAGAGAGAGACAGTAGGCAGAGGCACCTTCTAAATTTTGCTGATTCACTCCTCAAATGGCTAGAACAGCTGGGACTGGGCTAGGCTGAAACCAGGTCCAGAAACTCCATTCAGGTCTCCCATGTAAGTAGAAGAGGGCCAAGACCTTGGGCCACAGTCTGCAGCCTTTCCAGGTGCATTAGAAGGGAGTTAGACCGGAAGTGTAACAGCTGGACTCAATCTGGAATTCATAAGGGATGCCAGTCTTATAGGTGGTAGCTTGACTCACTGCACCACAATGCTGGCCCCAAAATGAGATGCTTATTGGAGATTCAGATACAGAAAGTCAATTAAGAATTCAGCCTGGAGTTTACGGAAGAAACCCAGGCTGATATAACTTTGGGAGTCATATTTAAAACTATAAAACCAGAGGTGGGTACAGAGGCACAGT